CAATTGACGAACTCTGGCGAAATATGACCTAAAAATGTGAAAAAATGACCTAAAAAATTAAAAACGTCAAAAAATGCAAAAATATGCAAAATAAAAGTTTCATAGATGGATTCGTAATTACATAATTCAAATTATGTACTTACAAAGCTATGTTTTACAATCACCAAAAAAAATACACTTTCCTATAAATTCACAGCCCTAGTGATGACATTAGTTATTTGACTGATAGATGAGTTTTTATTTTTTGAAACTCTGTATCGTAATAATCATAAACATCATTTTAATTAAAAAAAAATTAAGAGCAGTAACATTAAAAAAGTATTAATTCCCATAATATATAACATAATTATTTTTTTATTTAGGTACCTATTATTTCCACATGATTTTATTGTTATTTTTATCATCATTAATATTTTACATAGTCTTATTTTATTTTAATTACTAATTTTTCAATACTTATCTACTGTTATTCAATGTTTTAAAAATGATTGTGTATTAAAATAGAATTATAATAATTATACAATATAATATAAATTATTAAATATTTAACATAAATTTGTATCATATATTTAACTGATTTTCCTAAAAATATCCAACAATCTTCAATATAAAAAAATCATCATGTTTAAAACAGTAAATTTAAGTTCTAGCCACCTGGGACTTTCATAAAAATTTGAAAATATTTTCAAAGTTGTATTTTGTATTGATAAGACGAATGTAATCAAAAGGCATATATACAAATATTCTGTCAGTGTTGACATATGTGATTCATTATTTTTGTTTGTCATCATTATTATTATCAATCAAAATAATAGCAAAATTATAAGATTTTTGAGTACCATAAATCGCAACGATTTTTTTTTTTTGGTAAATTGATAAATGATTAATATGATTTTGACATATAAAATAAACAATAGTAATAAAGATATTTTTCTCGATAAAAATATTATTAATTTTTTGTAAGTTATATGATATTTAGTTGCATAAATATTATTTATTTAAAAATATTTCCGTAAAACATTTAATACATTTAATTAAAGTAATATTTTGTTGTAGATATCAAATAATAAATAGTGTGAAAAAAAATATTCCGAAAAAAAATTTATTTTAATATAGGTTGTTATATACATTAGTATTCATAGTAAAATATTATAGAATAAGAAAACTTTTATCGATAAAATATAACATTTTTCCTTTAAAAAAAGCCAATTATTCTATATGTGTTAATAGGAAACACAATAATAATAATCGAAAACAAATGTGATTAAAAAATCAACACATTATTCGTTTTCCTAAAATTTTATGATTGTTATTGTTTATTATTTTAATTAATATAAACTAAATTTTCATGATTTAAAATTTTTTTTTTTCATAATATTATTAAAATTTGATACGGTAAAGTTTTTGTTTAATTAATTATTATTAAAACACATGAAAGTATTTATATAGGTATCATAATTTATTAATATAACCTATTATTGATCGAAAGGTTTATTATAAATTTACCTAAAAATTTAGTTTACCGTAGATTTAATTTGCCTACATGACGATAGTTACATGATAATAAATCAAACAACGTAATTAACCTACTTATAAATAATGTTATGTTTTGTTGTGAAGTTATTAAATTATTGAAAATAACATTGTTCATAGTGATGATCCAAAGTCATAAACTATGTGTGTTATTTAATTATCCTCTAGAGTTTAGAGAATAAAATATTTTATAAATTATGTATTATATAGCATATTGTTATTTATTATATATACTCATATAGTTTTATTATACTACAGGTTCAAAAGAAGATTTATTAAAAAAAAAAAAAAAAATGTTTTTTGATAATAAATAATAAGTTATCGTAAAATTTATGATTTTACATTTAATTGTTAAATTACATTTTTTTATAATAATTTGTTAATTATGTTCTATTGTTTATATTTAATTTCATATTTTCATTGGAAAAAAATAATATATCACTGGACTTCAATGTGATTATTTCTAGACGTAAAGTAAAATATAATTTGATCAATCATACGTTTTTATCCATTTAATAGTAATACGTACCTATACAGAGTGTCTGTGTATCATGAATCACGATGGCGCCATAAGAAACTAATAATTACCTCACATCAGTCCATATCCAAGTAGCATAAAAGTGTATCATTTTCAAGGTTTTTATTGAACGAAGATTAATTAATCATATTCATTTTACAATTGTAATATAGCAAAATTTCTATCAAAAGGTTAATAAAACCCAATTGAGTATGGTTATGACCGTTTTAGCAAATTAGTAGCGTATCAAAAGAACGCTATAATAATATTTATACAAATGCGTCTAAGCGTAAAAAGTAGCATATCGTCACCAAATTAGGTATTCTCATTTTACAGTATCCATAGAATACAATTGTAAAATTTTTATAAAATATAAGCAAATATATTATGAAAAAATTTAAAAAAATGATAGAATTTCAATACTTAACGTAGTTAACATATATTATGAATATTTTATTTAATTTTCATAAAGTATTATAGCTATTTATTTGACAATTAATTATCGGATAAGTAAATAGATATGATAATATGATGGTATTAACTTAATTAATTAAAATATAAGATGTAGAAATGAAAATAGCTAGATAATGAGATTGTTCGAATTAATGAAGAATATTACTGGTATGATAATTGATAATAGACTGTTTAGTATGATGGTGACATCGTAAGAGTTTAAATTATGACAAAAAAAGAATGAATCTTAATGGACTGATCGAAAACAGAATATCATGAAATGAATGAATACTTAATAGTAATAACCAATGGCTAATAACCATTGATTATTTTATTTTAATAAAATACTTCTATTTTTGTCAACAAATAAATTTAAAATTTTGTTGTTTTTAATATTTGTTGATATATCTTTATTTAATATAGATATATTACTAAACCTGTTATGAAGAATCAGTGTTCTCATCCAGATTTTAATTTTTCTTGTAGCAGAGAAACTTTTCTCACAATTATCTGAGCTGATTTGGATTGTCAATGCTATTTTTAAAAAAACTGTTCAAATTAGAAAAAAAATAATTTGTTTTCTGAATTCTGACAAAATTGTTATGACACATATTAAATTAATATGTACATCAGACTCAATATTCTATATAACAATATTTTTCGTCACTGTCATTTCAGAATGAAGACATTATTTAGACACATTCATGAAAGACTAAAAATATAAAAAGGTAGGTAAGTAGGTACCCTCTATTGTACATTAGGTCAGTGTTTTCCAACCTTTTTGTAATGGTGACCCATGAATTTACGCGATCCACCCCAACCAAAACTAAAAAAAATTTTTTTGTATTGTACTGAACTGCCTGATAGAACTGGTTGACTGGTACCCCAATGGATGTGGTTTTACAAACAAAAAATTTATCTATTAGAAAAATTTAAACTTATTATACATTATATAAAATTTGAGTATAAAAATGTTAGACATTTTTATTTTGACCTATTATAATACAAAATAAATACAATCGGGGTATTTTATCGACTATTTATCTTCTACACTAACAAAAAAAAAAAAAAATACATATTGTTGTAAAATTAATATATTCTTTGTTCTGCTCAAAATCTAAAATAATAATTAAACAGTATTAATAACTCGAGATATGTTGGTTCTTATATTGGTCAACCACTATCTGCAGATATCTACATAGAAAAACATAACGGTTATGACGTGTAAAATTTTTGTGGCATCATATTCACGTGTACAATATTTATGATAATTCAATAAAAAAAAGTAACGCGAATACCTATGGATATAATTGTGAACTAATAAAATTACCAAAGGATATACAATATTATTAGTACATGTTCTATTATCAACAGAATAATATAATATTATATCACGATGGACAATCTGGACGAAATTATCAACATTTAGTTTGCCAAACGTATAGATTTATATCTAATTGTTGAGCCTGGAACGATAAATATTCGCGGTCGAAATGTCTACTATATTGTTTTGGCATTCATTCTAATCTACGTATATGTAAGTTTGATAATATTTACTACTAATTGTTTGTATTATTGGACAGCCAATGCCCAATATAATATGTCATATACATGGATGAACTCTGTAAAACGGAAAACATGTTGTTCATAATCTACAAGATGTGGATTGTTAGCCACCACTCGAATAAAATATGGAGCTGCCTGTCGATCACGTGGTACGGTTTTACATAATTTGGCTTCAGAATGAGACATATGAAACACATAATGCGTATTTTATTATATTTACCTTTATCGAAATGATTTGCATGATAAATGTCATAAAATGAGTCAAAAATAAAATTTAAAAGTCTTATACCTTTTCAAACTGTATAATTTTAGAAGTTACTGTTTGTATAGTAACATGGTATTAAACACGCTTGATAATAATATAGAATTATACATCAAAGGGTAAAACCAGTGTAAAGGGCTATAAAATATTGTTACAGTAGTTGATGGGTATGACAACTGTTAATATTTAATAAGCTTAATATTATATATAAATAGAAAAGTTTCTAGAAAAATAAAAATAAAAATTGTGTTGTCCTATTCTATATCACACAATTGGTTAACATGTTTGTGTATTACGTGTATAATATTTAAAAAAATTAACTGAAAGTGACAAATTTTAGCATAAATATAAAAAACATACGACCGAAAGCTAAATATTATTATTTTTTAAAGTATACTTGACTATATGACGGACTTTAGAGACGAAAATAACTATGTTTTTAAAATTTGGTTGACTAAACGTATCGGTTTATGTAAAATGTTGGATTCCGGAACTATATAATTTTTGGGTCGAAATGTCTACAATATTGCTTTTACATTTATTCTGATGTACGTATCTACAAGTTCAATAATCTTCACTGTTAGCTGTTTGTACTATTGGTCGGCCAATATTTCTATTTGCTTAGAAGATCTCTAGAAAGTGGAAACCTCGTTGTTCATAATCTACAAAATGTGGGTCGTTATCTACCATACGAACAAAATATGGAACTGTCTTTCGATCACGTGGTATGGTTTTACATCATTCGGCTTTGGGTCGAAACATATACTGAATCATTGGCGAAAACTTTATATCAAGGTCTTCGCAATAATAACCATACTATATGCAACGAGTCCGTCTATTTCCACGTGCATTACATAGGCATTCAGTAAAAGTTTAACACCGGTAAACAATCGTGACGCTAAGGTTAGTGATCACCGACAAGGTATATTAAACGCCTATATACTGGCATCTGATGAAACGTACAATGCAAATTATGACTGGTTTATTTTTTTTTATGAAGCATTGATCACCTTTCTTGTAGTATTGATGTTTAAAATATACGATGTCCTTTTGACTACACTTTATTTTAGTATTTGCGGTCAGATGCACATGATTCGCTTTGCGTTCGAATCAGTTAGATATAAATCGATTCCCAATCCTAATTTCCCAATTGGTAAGTACGAATTCTTGATAAAAATACGTGTCAAAATATTCTCGAAGAAATATCACAAAATAATACCGCTTAATAAATATAAAACAATGATAATAGTTGAAACTTATCAGGAATTATTGCTCTGATTAAAAAGAAAGGTTTTATACGTTATTATATTAAGATTACTCATAACTGATATTCAAAAATATCAACAAATATTTATTATTTGTAGTTTAATTATACATTAAAATCATAAATATTCGTTTTTTTTAAATAGAACATTTTGACTCAACATTACAAATAATTTATTACAATCATGAATTATATGATTTTAATTAAAAGTTCAATATATGAAGAAACCAACATAAGTATCAAAACTCAGTTTGAGATAGCATTGTATTTTAATTAGAATTTTAATGGCGATAAATATATGTTAAAAAAAAAAAAAAAAAGATCTCATTTAAAATAATATTAGCTTATTTACCTTATTACGTATTTCTGTGATAATTTTAAACTTAACACTTACGATATACTCTAAGAAAGGTTAGGAAGTATCTCAATTAAACAACCAACTCATAGTATATTCATATTATATGAATAAATAATAATATACAGCCGACGGTAGTGCAGGCACACAACACCGAGTCGCAACGACTAACATTTATATGCTATTCAACACCGCCAGGATTGGAAAAAAAGTCTTAAGACGATAATAAAAAGAATAGAACAAAGTAAATAGATACATAATGACATGTATATTGAGTGGAAAACAAAAATCCAACGTTATCATACTAAGTACATTAGTAAATCAACAATGCTCGTCAAAGCCGACTTTACTGCTTTGCGACGACAGACAGCAGATCTGTAACACACATAATAACAGACACTATGTGAGAGTAGATTTCTGTAATATAATAAATAAAACATGTCGAAATGTATGATCTGATAGAACATTTTATCAAACTTACCTCATAGATGAGGTCCAATAGTACAGTTACTATCGTTCGTTCTTATCATACAAATGGCACACATACAACTTGCAAAAAACACGCTCTACGCGATCGGGCACCGTGTGAACGTGAAAAACACAAAATCGAGTGACATTAAAAAAAAAATCAACAAAAAACGTCGAACGGCTACCTGTCGGAAGCGACGTTTCGTGAACGCGAAAGTGAACGCTACGGATCGAAACAGTGGACGAACCGCACACGTACTGCACAAAAGAGACGCGGTCTATGTGATTAAAAAACGAACGTGGCGAAAAAAAATACAATTTAATATAATACAATTTTTTGTTCTGGTAGCCCGTATCAAAAATTTGTCATTCCGCGAATTATTAGTAATTTTTAATAAAAATACGCGGAGCGGTGAGTGCTTCAGCTTTCCCAAGTACCCATCTTTCTCTCTTTCTAAATTCATCATTGGTTACCATTGATATTTGTTATGAAAATAAAGTAAATATTTATAGTTCAGAATGTATAAAATGTATACAAGTATTTTAATATTAAAATTATTTTTCATATAAGTTCAGTTTTTCTAAAAATAATATTTAATTAAATCATTTAATTTTTATGTATATATTATGCACAATATTATTTGCTAAAAAAGGAGTGTAAATATTAATGTATTACGTATGTTGTACAAGTATTACATTGTAGCAACCTAAAGAATTTATTTAACATACTTATTATTTATAAAGTTTTTTTTAAATAAATATTTTTTTATATTATAATTTTCTAAAGTTGAAAGTTTAAAATGAATGCAATTTTATGTATTAACTATTCTTCATTATTACAAATGATTTTATTTTTATTTAAGGCACTTGAAGCGGAAGTGATGTAATCTTCTACAAATATAAATAAATGCATATTTAAATGTATATGAAGATAAAAAGTGTTATACATGATGAATTCCGTCATTGATGAATGTCTGATTTTATTGATTGTGTTTTTTCTTCAAAATTTGGGATGATATTCTTTATCCACACAACCCTACCTGATTTTAGACACGTTTATGGCCTGCGTTTTTTATTTTTATTTGTCAAATAATTTAAACTATATATTGTACAGAATTTTTTTAACCTTTGTTTTTCCTTTAATCATGCATTTATTCGAACTCTAATTTTTAAAAATTTTAAATATACTAAAAGAACTTATTTTTAAATACTTGGGAATTTCTCTACTATTTAAGAAGAGTTTCTTTGTGATATAAACTTCTGTTTTTCAAATGAGAACTTCTTTTTTACTGTAAATTACTAAGTGATTAGTAATAATAATTTTTAAAAATAGTTTCATAAAATTTTTTTTTTCCAAGAAAATTAACAATCTATGCTATATGCACAATAAGAGAAAATTATAAAATACATGGTAAAATTTCATAGGAAGAATGCTTTCCAGTTATAGAACCTTCTATGACGGTAGTTTATACATTCATATGTTTTTTTTTAAAAAGAAGATCTCGACACCATTGTTAGTTTAATCGACGAATCGGGTTGTTAAGAAAACTCGCAGTAGAAAGACAGGTAGGATTAGAGTGGTAATGGAGTTTACGATTGAAGTTTATGTAATTTTTTTTTGCTTATTGGTTTATACTTTCTATATGGAAATGATTGTGAAAATTATTATTTGAAATATGCCAAGGTGTTAAAGTAATGAAACAAAGAAAAACAGATTGAAATGTCTGAATAGAGTGGGTTTGAACACTTTAAAAAATATATACAATAGAACCCGTTTAATACGCTCTTGCATAATACGGTTTCCTGTATAATACACTCATTTTCACGAGTTCTTTGATTTTGATAGTGATTAACATATAAATAACTCCGGATAATACGCTTTGTATTCCCGAATAAGATGCTCTATGTCAATGATGAATGTAGTATAAAATTAATAATCACAATAATGTACAATATGATTATTGATTTAATAAGGCACCGCAACTTAGTAGATAAAAACTTTGACGTGTACATACCATACAATTAGGATGAGCTTTTTATATACACTACTAATCACTCGTTATCTCTCCGCAACAAAAGCACTTGATTATGTACACGAACTAAGAAGATTAATTGAATTTTCTGTCTATGCAGATGAAACACTACAAAATCTTAATTAAGTTGAAAACTTCCTCTGCTCAAAAAATATTAAAAATGAAAAACAAATAAAAATTGAAAAATTTTTTAACGTAAAATTAAGTATGTAATTTATAGGTATATATGTAAATGTAAATTATAGATGATATTTAATTTGAAATAATAAAAATACAATTTAATAATAAGTATATATGTATTAGTATACTATATTTGTAATAATAATACAATATAAATAAAAAAATTAATATTGTCATCCACAACAAAAAATATAACACAAGTAGACATATTACATTATGGCAAAAAAAGCAATTAAATACAATGTAAGTTGATTTATTTTTTTAAATTGTGATTTGATGCCAGTTTTACATAACTATATCTATTAATTTTTTTATTTAAATAATTATCAAAAAATATTTGTTATACATTTTTTTTTTGATTTCATAATTTTTATTTTTATTTATTCTATTATTGTTTTACTCTTATTATTACATAAGTATCAGTTAGTATCTTTAAATTTAATATATGAGAAAACATAAATATATTTGGATGTGCTTTAGTGAATTGCGTGTTAAGTTGGAACGATTTATAACTGTTAATTGTTCGTTCTGATGAAATTGAAGGCAATGTTTATATTTTTATATTAAATTTTGACGTTTCATCAATATAATTGTCACATAGATAATCATAGAACTTTATTAACCTTACGTTAAAATTAATATATAAAAAATTTTACGGATTTGAAATGCGGCGCAATCTATAAATTTCTTACAAGGTAAAAAGGTAATTTTGGCGCAATTGATTACGCCAAATTATTTAAAAATTCCAAAAATTTAATTTTAAATAAATGTATTATTGAAGAGAAACGGGGATGAGCATGCTTTTTTACGGTAATTAATTTGCGTATCTTTTAAATAAAAAATAATACAATTTTATATTAAAAAATCATTTGTTAATTAAATTATTAATAAATGTATTAAAAAATATATATAATACGTTTTTAATGTAATTAAATTATTATTTTAATTCATAAATAATATGGATGCAGTTAATTAAAACAGAAAAAAATTAAAAACAACTTATACGTTTCTTATATTGTCATTAAATTAAAAATTTTTCAAATTTGTGTTTGGCTGTCTTTAATTTGATGAACGTGGTAAACGAAAATGGCAGAGTTATCTACTGCCATCTTTTTCTCTTCATTTACCTATATCAAAATTTGATCGTTAGATGGTGCTACCATTCACGATTTTTGGTTTAATTTAATTTTCATATTGCCGATAGCCCTGAGGCTAAACTATAGAGTTTTAGTTTTACTTGTGATTTGACGACCACAAAACTTAGTAAATTAGATCTAGTTGTAACTTTAGGTAAAATAATTAAGAAAAACAACTAATAAAAGAAAACGTTTTACGCAAAAATAGTTTTTGGCAAAATCAATTTTCTTAATTTGTTAACAAAAGTTTTTACCAAATGATAAAAATGTTCTTTATACGATATAATTTTTGAAGTATGTTGATTTTTTTTTCTTTATCCATTTATAAAATATATGTGAAATTTTCGAATATTTGTTGATAATAATAATTAATATTGATAAAATTAAATATTCGACTAGCTAAAAAACATAATATTCTAAGGTGGTATTGACCCAAAAGTTTATAATAATAAATTATATAAATATATACAATTACATTAAATGTTAATTATATAATTAAGCAATGTTTTCAGTAAAAATTTAATCTTCTAACCGTTATACTTATAGAAAATAAATTTGTTTTATAGTCATATCAAAATTAATATTATGAAAAATGTTGGTACCACGTGTATTTTAGTTTTAGTCCATAGAATGGTGTAATTTTATGACGTCATGTTTAAAATGTGACTTATTTTTTAACATGGAAGTAGTAAAAGTTTTATGCTATATTTTTTTTATAAGAAAAAAATGTTATTAATTGTGTTATTTTATATTTTTTAATTAGTAATTACATAAGATAAGTACAATGAACTGATCGAAATTACGAAATATATGATGTTATGTAATTATAATATACCAATATAGTTGTATACTTTTTATGTCACACTATTGAATATCTTACGTTGAATAATAAATTTTAAGTGATATCACTATTATTTAAGTAGACATGTAAATTTAGTTTTTATATAAGTTATCTATAAATACACAATATTAAAAAGTTAAAACTAAGTTTTTGAAAAAATCATAAAAAGAACAAAAAAAAAAAAAAAAAAAAAAATGATTTGAAATTAGCCAAACTATTATTTGTTGGTATTTTTAAATTTATTATTAGTATTACTGTTGTACTAAAAATTTTTAGAATTCCAATATTTGTCTTATTGATAGGAGCTGAAAGTGAAAAAGAAAGCGAATATTTCTTGAGAAATATAACATAATGATGAATAGAATAAATGAACACGTTGAGACAATCATACCATATTGGTGAAATGAAAACGAAATTATGTAATAATTACAATCAGCGATGTGAATTGCGTAGTATATAATGCTGTTATTATGATTGAATTGAGTATAGCTTCGTTGTGTGTATTCTATTATTTGACCATATAATTTTGACAACGGATGTTGTGTATCATTTCCGAAGCATTATTATCCTAGAAGAAACTCCTCCTTTATTTTGATGAACACCAGTGCAAAATGTGTAAAGGAAAAGGGTCTAGTCCTGTCCTGTGGTCCAATGACCTGACATAAACTGACTTATTACTATTTCAGTTTCTCATAATTTCATCGTTGCTTATATATTTTGATAAAATTATATTTTAGTTTGAACATAGTAAGTTATTGTTTGATTGGTAGGCTGACATTGTATTATAATATACAAAATTATTTTATAAATATATTTAATAACAAATGTTATTAATTGCATTATAAACTCATAGTATTACCGGGGGGTTTAAATTTGATTTGAACGATAACGCAAAGAAATGTTAAAATATTTAACAGTCTTCGATTAAAAAAAAAGTTTTAATTAATAAACAGACATTTTTCAAAATTAAATTATCACAATAGTACAATTTTAAAACTAAAAGACTGTATTCGATATTTTTTATCACAGTAATGTGACCGTTATATATTTTTGAATGTTGACGGACTTATTGTAGAATAATAAATTTATTATTGATTGTTTTTGACATAATACTATGTTATCTCCAATTTTTGCCATCATTGTTTTTTGAAATGTAGTTTGTGTATTAACAGTAGACATATATTATGATAACGTCTGAAAAAAAAACAAGCAAAATAGCAACTAGTTTTATTTTAATGCATAATACAAATTGAGTAGATTTAATAAAAAACTTTAAGCTTGATTACTTAGGAAAAAAATCAAATAAAAATTAATTATTTTAGGCAAAATTTTAAATTATATTTATTATAATTTTAATTAGTTTTAGAATTGATTCTGCCGTATTTTTTTTTTTAACGTAAAATATAATTATTTATAAATCATAAATAATCAATATCTAATGTATACGAGTATAGCGTTAATGCAAAATGCATTATGATTATTACCATATTTTTAATTATATTTACTAATAACTCTTTGTGTTACACTCATATAGTGTCTATTAATAATCTCTAAATGTTAAATATTGGGAGAGAAATATACAAGGATGTATACAAATACCAGTATAGGATAATGAATTGCTCGTAGGATTAATTACAAAACTCAGTTACTCAACTATTGATTAACCACGGAGTAGTTATTTTGTAGTTCATCTGGATGATGAAGGGTGTTATTCATATAAATTTGTTTTCTTATAGTATCAAGATTATTTATTTCAAAAAATTTTTTTTGTAATCACAACATAATTTTATTTATTTCTTATAATATTCCTTGTATAAATAATGATTTTTTTCTTTAGATAAATCAAAATCAGCAAGTCAAGCCAAGCCAAGAATCTGAAACGTGCGGACTAGAAATCGTCGCAGAATTTTATATCACAAGATACATTATTTTTTAGTTTTTTCTTGATAAAATTATAACAGCTAAATTTAGAAGTAATTCTTTTTTAGATAAATACATATTTCCTTAGGAAATTTTAACTTTTCTAAAAATATTAAAAAAAATTTTGCTATTTTTTATAGTTATTTTATTTTTTAATTTATTAATTTTTGAATGGATAGAAAATAATTTTGTTATAATATTCTAAAATAAAATATTTTAGACAATTATAATTATTTTTATTACTATTATTATTATTATTTTATTTTTAAGTATGAGAACTATTGCAGTTAAATAATTATTTGCTAGTATATTTGTAAAAGTAACAAATTTTATTATTAAAATAAATAAATAACTAAAGTATTAATAATAAATAGAACATAACAAAGTGATATAGGCATGATAGGTAGTAGAGTAGGTAAGATTATATGAGGGCAAGTTGTACATAAATAATTAAGGAGAAATACATTCTTTGATAGTAATAACATTGAGAACTGAAAAAAGAGTTAGTGGACTGATTTATATGTTTAGGTTAAGTTGGAAAAATGCTTAACGAAAGCTTTATGATGAGTATTGGTAGCTTCTATAAGGTTAGGTTTTGGTTAAAAGTGTTAATCTGAAACCTTGGCTTGAGCGTTTTTCAGAAATAGCTTTTGAGCAATCTTGAATATTGGGCATTCTTTGAAGTTGACGATGTGGCTCTTTTGGGTGTTACGGTCATTGGTGCATAAATTCATATGGTGCATTTTACCATATTTTACTTATTGAACATGCCGGTAGCATTAACTTTGCATGAGGCCGAGAGAATAGTAGTTATGTCAATGCTGTGGATTGTATATTTTTTATGCGGTTTTTTCAATTACCTCTTTATTATTGAATAATGACGTAATATTATGAATATCTTTATCATTGTTATTCGACAATGCATCCATAAAAAATAAAAGAGGCCTCGTTTGTTTTTATCGTTGGCAATGAAAATATGTTCGATGTGATATCCTACTTCATTCAATGCAGGAGATATGTCGTTTATTAAGATGAGAAAGTGTAGATCTTGAATGGGCAGAAAGCAGCTAGGGGAAAAATAATGGGAAATGACGCCAGTTTCATTTAGATAATTAATAATTTTATTAATATTGATACGACCCGAAGATTGTACAATAATATGAGGAGACGTTGATTTGCAAAGATAACTGTTTAAGCTAACGAGTTTTGATAAAATGGAGTTGAAAGCAGAATAATTAAAAATAAATTTTATGTAGAGCAGTAAAGTTGAAAAATTTGCTGGGAAATGCGGGTTTGTGAGATTGTCAGAAGAGTTGATTGAAGGTTTGGAAATTATCGTTAGTATAAATTGTTGGCGAGTAAGGTGTACATAATATTAAGCGAAACAAAAGTTTTTGATTTTTTTATCATTATGCTGAGGAAACTTGGACGAACTTGATTAGTTAAGTTTAGTACAATTGGGTATATTTGGTTAAACATAACCCTTTATCCGATATTTTTTGTTCAAAGACATTATTAATTACGGCCATCAATAATATTGACCATAATAAATGAACGACCGCACTGCGGCAATAATCACGGAATGAAAGCTAAACTATGTACGTGCGTTCAATGTTCACGCTAAACTTACGGCTGAACTACAATTTCAATAATTACAAATTAAATTTTAAACAAAAAACTAATTAGTTAGTTAAAGCTTTTCGAGAAATGAGTTTACCTTTATAAGAATTACTCTATTATAATTCAATATTTCAACACATTTGTGTAGCAATTTTGCCTGAACATTACGCCGTGTTATATTTAATTTAAATTTATCAATTAAATAGCCAACAATTTAAAAGAATATCGATTTATGAAAACAACTCTATAAAAAGTTGGTAACTGTATTTATATTAAATGTGATTTAAAAAAAAAAAAAAAAAATTAAATAAGTACTTATGAAAAGACCTAATTATTATTAGTTATTACACATATTTTTTATTTCGATTTTTAATGATTGTGAAATCGTTTTAAGTTATTTTTTATACTTACCATAATTGTAAATATCATCAATTATTTTAAGTCTCATATTAAAAAAATATTATTTCCTTAAAATATTTGTTTGAAATTATATAAATATTAAGTTATGAGCTTAAATAATTGTTACTATAATATTATATACATCACAACAGATAAAAGCCCATATACCTCATTCTTATTAAAATATCAAATAAAAATGACGTGGAAATATAAATATAAAAATATGTATATTTACTTAACATTTTAAACTATTACAGATTTTTATCGTTTATTTCGAACGTGAAATGTTTTATGTATTACGTATATAACATGATAAACTCAACAAATAAGTGCGGGTATCAAGTTTGCTTACAAATAAATGATTTTGTTTTTCAATCAACACACAATACTATACGGGTACAAAATTAACTGACTGATAAAAAGTAAAACCACCTTATTTTGTCTGTAATTGTCTATTTTCTAATGCTGAGAAAGTGCGAATCGACAGTTAACAGTCTGATTAACTTGTATAATGTACATAGTGGCAGGTGCTATAATAATATATATTTAGATAACGAAATTCGTTTTTGATTTAGTTTGTAAACTTAGAAATACATCATATATTACATATGAGTTTGATATATTTATTAGAACCTTAATAATTATTACTGATATAATTATATTGATGGCACTCGCTGTTGAGTAATGAAATGGAAAGGTATTTCCATTTTTCATGTCTAAAATAAATATTAGCATTTAAAAAAAAATTACCTCATCATATATTTTAATGAAATCTTAAGAAGTCGTAGCATGAAAATGTCTGAGATCTATTGTTTATATCACATTTATATATATTATACAAGACTAAAAAACAACAAGATATTTAAATAAGCAAATAATGAAATTAGTCAAAAAGAGTTTCCTGAATGTATAAATTAATACATTGTATTGTTATTTACGTTTTTTTTTTTTTACAAAATTTAATGAACATTATTGTTTTTATTTAACGAAATTACATGATTTATGAGGTTATAATGCTATTATTTATTTATACCTACCTATTTAGAATGCTTCTTTTATCTTAGAATAATTTATATAAATCACAAAAGGATTTCAGATTTTTTTATTTAAGGCAAAAGAATATTATATTTAAACACGTTTTTCGGAAAATTAAGGCTGGTAAGTAGTGGTTACATTATAATAATAAAATAATGACTATGTTAGCCTGGATGTTATATCTTTTAACGAGTATTCTTCTAGTGATTACTTATATAAGATACATATATATACTGAATGAAATGATTAATTTAATAGTAAACACTCATTACCTTGAAAACTAGGTATAATCATTGTTTATAAAAAAGAATTGACATAAAATAGTTTTTTCAAAAATATTATTTTTTTTTTTATTATTGTTTTTATTGATGTCGAAAA